GAGAATCTGTTGAGAAGAAATGAGAAGTCGTTATTGTTATCCCTCCCTTAATTTGAAAACTCTGATTATCCAAATCTGTTCTGTAAGCCTATCGGTCTAAACACTTGCTCGATTTAAATATGCTACGACTGATTTCAATTTAAACACCTCTTAGTAACAGAGTTTGAGGTCCGTACTGAAAGTTAAGGACCGAGTTTTCTCCCTTTCAATTTCTGCTGGCCCAAGCACGAAGCGCGAGGGCCATAAATCGAACGGGAAAAACGAGGTTTCGTAACCTACAGTCCTCGCTGTGAAGACAATGTTACTAAGACATTCACTTTATCTCTAAGTGTGTTTGATGGCTTCGGAGACAGCTCTAAATTATAGGGAGCCGTACAGTAGATTACACTAAACTGACAAATCACAGTGCGCGTGGCAACAAAGCCTTACAAAAAAGTATAATAACAAAAATTGGCCATGCCTACGGGTGAAAGTTAATATATATATATTTTTTTTTAATCTAAAATCCAGACCAAGTACCAGTTCAGTAGATTTCTAGAATCTTGAATTCTGCGCTAAAATATCTTGTACTAAGACTAGTTCACCCGAATTTTCCTGACAACGCTACAAATTTCTATCTTTTTGGGGGGGTGGGGGGAGGGGTGGGGAGGGGAACCAATGGTATATGATAAAACCTCAGTTTTTTTTGGAAGCTATCCACCGCTTCAATAAATATAATGAGAAGACAACGATTTTGAACGTCTGCATATAAAAAGGACAAAATTGATGAAAATATCATTTATATTTATATGTTCTCACAAGTATTGGATTGTGTCAATTGCGCTTCCCTTTAATTGCAGATTACCTGATTTACCTAAACCATTTGATGAGTAGATTAATTGCAAAAAAAATTATTGTTGGAGAAGTGTATCTAAATTAACGGTCAACGGTTTTGGTTTGGGGTTAATCAACTTCGGATAAGAGGCTTATTGGCTGAGGTTAAAAATAGGGACGGTGGGGATGGTGGTCATTTGTCAATCAAAGAGTCATAAGTTTTGACTTTTCACCAGTGAGGACTCACTATCAGACAAGTAGTCATGAGCTGTAGGAGATAGTCTTTGTGTCCAGCCATGCAGGTCACATGCTGGGCCTTTCTTATACAATACTGAGCCAGAGGAAAGGAATAAGAAAAAAGATTTGCAGTGTATGACTGGCGTATTTCAACAAACTAGATCAAATGGACATTTTTTTATGATGTAGTCTTCACTAGTCAAGCATATGGTTCATTTTGTCCTAAGTAATAAAAATACCTCCAAATTTGGGGCGCTTGGGTGGACTTGGCCCTTCTCCCAACACATCTGCAAAAAGAAAGAAACAGGTTGTACGTTTATTAACACCACAGCAGTCTGAGAGGTATTTGGTGAAACTTCTTTGAAAGAATTATCTAAAAAACAGTTATCATTTGCAGAAAAATTATTTGTCCCTTTGATTTGCAGCACAAAAATGAATACAACTGGATAAATACTTGTTGTACATTGTCATTTAGTAAACTGTCCGTGCAATTGGTATAGAGCAAAAGGGAGGGAAAGAAACGTACGTATAAAATCGGGCTGTCACTGGACGGGAATCAAGGATTTCCTCCACTACTAGGAGTGTGAAACACAGCTACTCTGATAGAAAACTAAGCATACATGTAAAAGACCTGGATAAAACCTAGTACTGCAGTAATGATACACTAATGACAAACAAGAGTTCTTTTTCTGAAATTCAAACTCTCACTTTTCCAACAACACATCACAAGCTTACATCATTCTCTCGTTCATTCAAGCTTACATACGAAAACAATGTGCATTGTAACAGAATAAACATCTTGGATGTTCATGCAGCAGCAACAACAACAAAATGTTGGAAATGACACTTTTCAAATAAACATTCAAAGAGTACACAATCATAAAATGTGTTTTCAACTAGATCAGAGACCTTTCTTGTCTCAGTGATTTTAGTGCAAATTCTTTGTAGCTTTTCAGCTCTTTTCGTGTTGCAATGATAGCCCTGTAAGGCATTGCGAACATAAGTAACTCATGAAAGCCTAATTGAAATGTCTCAAAGTTACATGCATGTGCACAAAAAAATTGAAGACTTTTGCCTTCAAATCATTCGATTTTGTTTCAATAGCTAAAAAGAAGCCGCTTTGGGGGGCTTCAACATGCGTGAAAAAGCTTTTCCTCAAGTCCATCTCAGGGTTTTTTCAACTATGTAGAGATTGCATTTACTGCTTGTATTGTCACTAAACCTGTAAGCAAACAATGCTCCCTCCATGGTTTGCATTGCATATGCGAGATAAAACGAGGCTGAAACTGACATTAAGTTTTGGCTTCTAGAGTGCGTAGCAATGCTGTATGAACTTTTCAAATTTACAGGGAACTGATCCCGTAACTCCTAGAAGAAAATTATTCAAGTTACCTTTATGGGCATGAGTTCATATATAGCAGTCAGAAAATATTGCTTTGCATCAAGTGAAAACCATAATTTGTATTCATGATCTGCCAAATGTATCAAGTTTGAAAATAATGTCTTGTAAAATTGTGAGGAGACCCTATCCCCCGACATTTTTTTTTCTTTTCATTTCCCCGTCTACTTCAAAATAAGTGACAGCCCTGAATTTAAGTACAGTGGAACCCCGTTACTCCGGTCACCAACGGGCCACAAAAATCTGGCCGTATTATCAGAGTGGTAGTATTAAAGGGGTTCTTTAAATAAGGAAATGACCGACTGAGCTTTTTTTCAGGCCAGAATAAAGTGGCCGTAATGACAAGGTGGCCGTATTAACGGGGTGGTCGTAAGGCGGGGTTCTAGTGTAATCCTAGAAGAAAATGTACCATGTGGTTTACTTACAACAAAATTGTTTGGCCACGTTATTAAGGCCAACTCTGACACAACACAAAGCGTCGTAGAGCTCACGATAAAGTGCATTCGACGATGTTGTATTTCTCCAGTGAAGTAACATCCGAAATGGTTTTCTTTCTTGATTAGCCTGTATTTCGTCCAGTACATCCTGACAAATGCCAAGGTGAAGTCCTAGCTCCTGCCACTTTGCAGCAATCTTTCCCGCCAGCTCATCTAGTTCAAGGTCA